CCCCCAAAAAAAAAAAATCTTAGGTTTGCCTCTTTAGAAACAACGCAAAGATGCAAGTTGCCCAAACAAATTTCAACTCTGGAATTTGAACTCTAGAAAGCTCTACGGGGAGTTTGGATTTTTTTCTGGGGGGGACCAGTTGCTTTTGGTGCCCAAACTGCGGAGTTGAGGGCTGTGATTGCCGGAGCATCCATGGGCACTCGCTGTGGGGGGACACAGGAGCCCGAGCTTGCTCCCAGCTGGGTGAAATAGCAGGGCTTTGACAGATTTGGCCCAAAACACATCACTAAATGCAGGAAGCACAGCGATGGTGTGCCAGGGCCCCCTCTGCATCCCGGAGGATCTGCCCTGCCCTAGGACACAGCGTCGCAGCCAACGGCCACGTTGCCTTCGGTGCACGGCTTTGGCAGGACAAAGACCCCAAAATCCACGTGATGCTTTTTGCCAGATGTGGTTTGTGGCACCGTGGGGTTATTTTCCTACTGGAGAGCTGACAAAATCTGGTTGGAATTAATATGCCAAAGAAAGAAAGAAAGAAAATGAGAAGCATACAGGCTCCTAATGCCTGCTGCAGGATGGGAGCTGACATTGAGCAGCCCAGAGCCACGCCAGGATGGAGCACACCGAGCCCACGTGCCCGGGCATGGATAGGGCAGCAGGTACTGGCCAAATCCCACCGAGGCAAACACAAAACCCAAACACAGCAGGAGCCTCGGATTATTGGGTAGAGAAACTCCTCTGCTGCATAAAGAAACCAGAGTTCACGTCCTCATCTGCAAGGCAACAGCTGATGCTCTCGTCAGCCTCCTCCCCAAACTGAAATAATCCATCAGAAGTTATCCTCCTCAGGTATTGGCTATGTGGACCAGGGGTAATGCTGCAATCAAATGCAGAGATGAACACACCACCAAATAAAAGAGGAGGGTGCAAGGAGATGACTTTGGCTCTGTGCACCCCCTGACCACGCACAGGTCCTTCGAGAAGAAATCCCAATTTATCTCCACCAAGAGCGCCGTGTCAGAGGAAAGAAAGTGGCAGCAGCAGCTCTGCAAATTACTAAATATTTGGTAGAGAGGCAGTTTATCTCCTCTGAAAGGCTGAGGAGGAGGGGATGGATCCCAGCTGGAAGCAGAGGCAGTAGATACGCTGCTAAGGTTCACTCTATCTGGCCAAAGAGCAGTGCCAGGCTTTAATCCCAGCGGCAATTAGCCTGGATTACAGAGCAGACCTGCAGGGAGAAGGTTAATTAAAATCCATCTAGATGAGCATGTGTGGGATTTAGCGACTTTATCTTTCCGGTACCAGTTTGTTAAAGCTAATTCAGCAGTTGTAAGAGGAGACTGGAAGGAGACGAGCCAGCGGGGTGTCACGCTGGAT